AGGTCTCGAAAAACAGTTAATTTATTCACTGATATTTTTTTAAAAATTAGAACATTACAGAACAACTTACGTCTCCATTTGGATCCAAGGTCCCTGAAGACTCCGCGCGAGGGTCTGTTTATAAAAAAGAAAGAAAAAAATGATCCTTCTTTTAACTCAGTTGGCGCAGTCACGACAAAATGACTCTCCATATGTAGTCAACACAGAATTGCAGAGGACACTTTAATATACTGAACAACTGAAGCACTAAGATTGTTTCAGTAAACCACCGATGACTTAATAATAAATTAGGTATGTCCTGAGCTAATTCATTTCATTCCAGTAAACAAAATAAATAAATAACTACATTTAAGAAATTTTTTTTACATCTTTGCAATTGACAATAAGAAAAGGTACAAATTGCATTTGTGTAGTAAACATATTTATGAAATGACTTTGTTAAAAAGAAAAATGAAAGAAAGAAATGTACTTGTTGTACACATTATCTGGACTTTAAGCGAGTCGACCAAAAATTTCAACCAAGTGTGCTGAAGAAACACCAGTTGATGTCTTCAGTTAATGTAACAATGAGCATTATGACTACTTAACAACTTATTAATGTCTTTCTTCCTTGTTATCACATTCAGTTAAATGTAAAGAAGTCAGTTAACCCACCTGTGCATTTGCAGTTTTTTCTCTTGTACAAGGTATAGGCTGCATAAGCCAGGAAAACCAACAGACTTGAGTTGAACGCCAAAGCTCCGCTCAAGGCGTACACATAGATAAAAGATTCCCCCTCTTCTGTAGAGAACCAGACATTAAAAGACACCACATACATCATATTTGATTAGAAACTATTGTTACTGTTTAACAAAAGAGGCAGGAGCGGTAGCTACCCTCAATGTTCAGCTTGGCCCCATTTCCAAACAGTATGTGTCCACATGAAGCCACGGCACAGTAGTAGGTCCCAGCGTGAGACCGATTGAGACTCTCCATTCGCAGGTTGTACACACAGGTTTGGGTCTGTGAGCTGCGATTCCTCTCACATTGATCATTTCTGCCTCCGTGGGTGTAGATGAGTCCAGGGTGAGATTCTTCAGAGTTTTTGAACCAGTAAACACTGTGTTTTTCACTACAGGTTCCAGCGTGCACTGTACAGTTCAGCATCACAGAGCCTCCAGACTGGATGGTCTCAGGTGTTGATTGGTGAACTGAAGCTTGGAAAACCAAATCTGAATCCTTCACTTGGATGATAATCCCCTCCAAAAATTCATACACATATGAATAGCCACTTATGCAGTAGTAAGCAGCAGAGTCTGACATTTGTGCTTTTGAGATCTTCAAGTTGTTTTTATAGTTCATAGTTTCCAGTTCAAAGCGAGACTCATTCTTAAATTCATCAGTGAAAGTGCCATCTTTGTCATGCTTATAGAATTTCGACACCAGCTGTGGTTTCTGTCCCACAGGTTGCTTATACCAGTAAAACATCACTGCAACAGTAGTTTGATTGAATGAACAGTTTAAAGTTAAATCCTGACCAGCTTTAACAAATGTAATATTGAATGATGGTGATAGCTTCAGAGCTGCCAAATGAACTGAAAATAAAAGAAAATACACAGTGAACTTAATATAATAACTGGATAAGTATTGGAATGTATGAGAGACATTGTGTAGCTGTCAACAAAATTATTTAAGTTGCAACTTACCTATTGATCCTGAGAGTAGATATGTCACATAGAAGGATAACAGCGGGGGTGTCATTTTGTTCAAATTGCTGTGGATCATTGAGAGAAGGTCTTTACGTTCTCTACTTATCAGAGACAAGACTGTTTTTGATTGGTCACTCAGAATGACTGAAAGATCACATGCTCAGTGCCCCCTGTAGGGTTCATTTAGGTCTATGAGACGATCTAGAAAGGAGGTAATCAAAGCAGATTTGAAAAACTTTACTTCAAAGAGCAAGTTATGCAGATTTACTGAAGAAAATGCACATCCAGTTTACATTATGGCAGGCTCTGCCTGTACGTGTGACCAATCACATGAGTACTACTGAATAATTTACTCATCACTCAATTAATGTTATTCTACCAGCAAAGGTGCTTTGCAACCTGCAGCATATGTAAATGTTCACCATTAGCATTGGCTAGTTAACATTAGCATTCTTTGAAGGTCTGAATGTATTATGCATGTTTGGTAGCCAGGTCTCACCTCTTGAGTTTGTCACCGTAATGTTTATGAACAAGAATAAACTTGCAGACGGAGCCTTCACAGACTTTACAATAAACGTATCTTTGGTCATATTGTATAATGTTTAGATTGGTCTTTTTTGTGACTTTTTCAGTGTTCATATGGATAAAAACTGAGAGATTTAGTGCTTTATTTTGTACAGCTTGTGTCGTTATGCAATGTCATGCAAACAAAACAGCATAAGGAGATCTATTTAATCATGGTAGAGGTGTTTTGTTTTTAATTAACACCATATGGTTCAACATGTAGAAAAGGAAGAGAAAGCATAACAGAAATGTTTCATGTGGTATTTTTAACATAGACTATATATGCATATAACCACTGTGATGTCACCCACTGTACTACCAGAAATACACTGTCACATAGCTGACTGACACAAATCTCTGTCATGCGCATGTCCAGTCTTTTAAAATACAAACAACAACACAAAGATGCTTCATAGCAACTGTGTCTGTTATTAAACTGCAGGAACGTGCAGAAATAGAAGCTACAGTGAGACAACTCTGTTGATGACTGCATTGATTTTTTACTCTTTGAAGATCGGGCTCTGGCTCCTGGGCTGGCGTTGACATACATTCACTCTGGGTTCTTTGTTAGCTTTGTGTTAGCACGCTGTGTGTGCGGATACTTGCAAAGAGCCAGTGTAATGCCGGTGGCTGTTTCTGTTCTAGATGCAATGTACACTTTACGTAGAAACTCGTGTCCTTTTGTGCAATAAAGATAAAAGTAATATCAATATCACCACTCCTCAAACGTTAGACTGGACCACCTTTTTCTGTCTCCCTGCACATAAATGCAGGATGAAAAATACACGTTTGATGTTTTTCCCCCCTTACTATCTATTGATTGTGCAGATAATTGAAAAACCTAATCATATCATTCTTATTGTAACTTCCTATTTCTGAATTTAGTAGAGTAATCTGCATTATAATATATCACATTCTATTACTGTGTTAACAAAAAGTGTCATTTTTGACATAGTAACATATTATGTTATGGCACATTGCCTCCAAGTCTGTATACTATATATTTTCAGTGTTAGCAGTTTGAAAATATGGATGTTTTTTAAGTGATCACAACTGATTGTATATGGCTAAACTATATTACCATGCTTGGTTCATAAATTAGCATAAACCAGTAGAACAAAGAAACGTTGTAATTAGTAACACAAATAAGACAAAATAGCATCACTTTGCTCACAAAACTGAGGCCTAGCAGACAGCTATTAGCGGGTATTGGCTAGCACACCTATCAATCTACCGCGTGAGTGAGCCTAAATGACATTCAAACATCTTACTCATTTAAAAACAGATCATTTGTAATTATGGTAACAATTACCTATAATATCTCTGACAGAAGTTAGGTATTTCAAATTAGGAGACTATGGAAATGACTTCACTTTTGAAGTGGCCATGGAAGAATTGCATTATTTTGTTCTTTTTCTAAACTATTGAAAGTTGCTGCTTTATGTGGAAATACTATTTGTGAGGATTCTTGTCACAGTAACAAGGAGGTTGCTCGGTGCATGAATGGAAGCCCCCAGCAGACGAGGCCTACTTTAGAGTAACTAAAGGAGAGTTCAGGGTTACATGTTCCAGCTATATACTTTATCAAAAAGGAACATTTTAAGCCTAACCTTGAGAACCTAAAGTAGAGAGGTTGTCCCTCTCCTGAATCCAAAGTGGGAGCTGGTTCCACAGATGAGAGGCCTGTCCCAACAGCCCCAAGTGGTCACGGCAGATCACTAGCTGTCCCTGAGCCTGGTTCTATTGCGGGTTTCTTCTCATTAAAAGGAAGTTTGAGCACTTAGCAACAACTAAGTGCTTGTTCAAAGGTGGTTGTCGTTGGGGTTTTGTCTGTATTATTGCAGAGGCTTAGACCTTACAATAAAGGGCCTTGATGTGGCTGTTGTTGTGATTTGGCACTATATAAATAAAACTGAACTGATTTGAAAAAGTAAGCCTGCAGTCTGAGAGCAAACTGTTGTACTGGGTCGAGATGCTACTGTTACCCACCATTTAGTTTGAAATGTTAGAAACATAAAACATGTTTTTGTTTTGTTTTAATGAATGGATGCTCAGTTCATTGCAAATAATGCAGGGCCACAACTCTGGCTCTGGGTTTTATTTTTTAATATTTTATGTATTTTACAAAAACAACTAAGCAGCAGATAACTTTAAACTATAATGACTTTCCTAAAAAGTGAAGCTTTGGGTCAAGCTTCTGTACTTTTAGGGAACTGAAACTGTTCAGCGGTTATGGATGACTGCTGTTTTTACAAAGGAGCAGCTTCCTGTGCAGCAAGAAATGCATTCACACAGTTGAAGCTGAAGGTATGTAAAAGAAATCCATCTCCTTCAATCTTTTTTTCATAATCGTAGTTTATTGCCGATTGCTTTTAGTTTTTCATGTACACAGCAGGTCTTGTGAGAGTGGGCTTGCAAACATGAGAGGTTATGTGGCCAGGGGGCAACAGCCGGGTCTTCCTGTGTTTAAGCTCTCGTAGGACTTGTGTTTCCACCAGTGGAAACTTATACTCTGTCGCTCACATCACCTTGACCACAGAAGTGAAAGGTAAACAGTGAGAACTTACTGTAGCTGTGACCTGCATTTACGAAGGTATTAATAGATCGTGGGGGGGTTATATGCTTCTCTACACTACATTTGGGTTCAGTTTGATAGTCTATGTATAACAATGCTGAGCTATGTGATTTTGCTGAGCTCACAAAAGTCATTAGTCATCCAGCTGGTACATACAAAATATATTTTATTTTACATGATTTTACATTTGGCAGTGTGTATCTTTGCATCCATTCACACTTTTCTGCTCTTTACTCTAGAGTACACACAAATATTATCCAAGTTTTCTTCTTGACGATGTTGTTTACTGCTCCTCTTCAGACTCAGAGCTGCATAGTGGAGGCTGTCTGCATCTTGGCTCTGTTAGTGACGGACAAATGGGGGGATTGTGTTAAAATATAACTGGAAACATATCATATCTAATATAAATATAGCATCTGCTTCTATTAAAAACATGTGAGCAGATTATATAGGCTTTTTCACCTACCACTGCATCTGAGACTGTACAGGTTTGATGAGGAACAGCTCCTGCTAATCAAAGAAAGTAAATAAGCATGCTAGTCACATAGTTAGAGGATTATTATCATTAGAGATGGCAGAGACCTCACCTTTGCAGACAGAGCACAGGTTTTTCCTAAGCTTGTACATGATGAAAGCCAAGACAAAGAGCACAATAAAGGTACCTCCTAATGCCGCGCTCAGGAGATAAACTAAGACAGGGGAACCTAACACACACACAAAACAGATGTTACACAGTCGGTGTTTCACAGATTGCTTGAAACAGTAGTATGAAGTCACCCTCCTGCAGTATCACCTACCTGCAATCTCAACCTTTGTTCCATTTCCAAAAATAATCTCTCCACAGGAGGCCAAAGCACAGTAGTAGATCCCAGCATCAGCAGAGCTCACTGACTTTATTGCAAGATTTAAAGTGCAATTTCTCCTGTGAGGTGTTTCCTGTGAGATGTCTGCACACACGTGTCCCTCGCTGGGATACATGACTGTAGACTGAGAAGCTCCATGCCTGAACCAGTAAAGGTTCAGCTCTCCTGCACATGGTTCAGCTTCCACTGTACAGGTCAAGTTCAAAGAGTCCCCCAAGCGAAGCGGCTTCAACGTTGGCTGGTCTATTGCAGATCCAATGCTGGTCGCTGGTGATTTGACATGAAGGAAAACTCCTTGTCCAAATTCAATAGCGTTAAAGACTAAAACCCCACAGTAATACGTCCCTGAATCTGACAGGCTGAGGTTTGTGATTTTGAGATATTCTTTTTTACCTTCTACAAGGACTTTAAACCTGTCTTTATACTGTGCATAGATATCAGCTTCTGGGCTGTGCTTCATCCGAGTTGATATGATGTTAGGTTTGCCACCCAGGCTTTGCTGGTACCAAGAAAGGAAAGTTACAGCATCATCTTGACAAACGCATGTTATTGTTACATTCTCCCCGACTTTAGCAATCTTGATTCCACTCTCCTGAATTACACTTGAGGTCTTGTGAGCAGCTAGCACCTGACCTGGACAGAAGTGCATACAATTGTTTTAATTATATCTTTAACATCTCATCAGTCTCTTTAGAATTTACATCCTTGAAAAAAGAAACTATGAAAAAAATGCAAAATACTCACAGATTTTATAGAGAATTGCAAGAAAAACACAAAGAGGCATCATCTCTGAAGCTCTGCAGTATGTATCGTGTGCCTTTACGGACGCACCCAACTCTTATAGGAGACGAAGACTGATCGTGATTGGCTAAGCTCAATGGTTGGTTTTCAATTCAGAACTACAGTTTGTTTCTTTCCAAAAGATCAGACTGATCAGGTGACTGGAGGTGTGATTGGGGTCAAGTCTTTTTTGGTGACATCATTGTTGCTGTGTTTGTATTTGTTCTGCAACACATCTAGGGTGTTTTTTAATATCTGATCTATAGATGTATTTTTAAGTCACAACACAATTTTTCATAGTTGCATGAATTTGTATGGGGAGGTGTGTTTAAACAGTTACGTGGGTTAAGAGGGAGTGTTAGTGGGGGGAGACAGAAAGTAACGCAGAAATCAGGTCAAGAAGTTTAAACCATCTAAAGCGAATACTGACATGTTATGGTTAATGGCAAAATTGTCTATGCTGTGATCCAGTTAATGAGCATAAGGGCGGAATTCACATTTGTTCCTGTACTTGTAGACATTTTAAAAATCTCAGATTTATATGGTCATATGTGAAGAAATTGGTGTACAGATGTTTTCCGGATTGACAATGGTTGGAGTGTTTGGCGATAATTTGTGGACAACCTGAAAAATGAAGCTAACTTGGAAGTGACAAAAACTGCAGTTCCCCTGGCAACCATCTGAGGCTGTCTGAAAGTATTTCAAATTGAAAAGTGATTAAAAATGACTTTTAGGTTGCTCCTGGGTCTCCAACTCAGCATTTTGAGTTTGTTCTGGACTTTTCAGCTACATCGTAGTTCTTGTTATATTCTTATTTATAGTTCTTGGTTTCTTGTCTCATTATGTTAGTTCCCTTTTGTGTCCAGTTTGTGCTAGTTTCATCTCTGTGACTTGTAATCAGCGTCTCCTGTGTGAGTCAGTGTTGTCTCCATGTTTGTTACTGTTTTTAGCTCACCAGTTGTGACCCCGTGTCTGTCTGGCCTCTCTGTGCCCTGTCTTTGTGGTTGTCTGGTTTTCCCTGTTCTTTCTGTCAAGTTCATAAATATTTAATCTTGGTTCCTGTGTTAATCTCTTCCTGTTCCTGTAGTCATCTCTTTGTGTTTCGTCCTTTTGTGTCCTCTTGAAGTTTGTCATCTCTACATGTTTGTTTACATCTTGTCAGCTAGTACCTACCCTGCTCTATCAGTTTTTCTTTTCCTGTTTGTTTTCTGCCAGTTGCCAGCTAATAAAGCTGAGCTTTGAGTTTAATTCTGCCTGCTGAGACCTACATCTGGGTCTGATCTTAGTCAGCCACATGCCTGTTTCATAACACTTGGATTTGACTTGGACTTGTCTGCCCACACAAAGAAAGGTATTCCTACACTATATTGATGAAAGTATTCCCTCACCCACTCAGAACATTAAATTCAGGTGTTCCAATCACTTCCATGGCTACAGGTGTATAAAATCGAGAACCTATACATGCAAAATGTTTCTACAATCATTTATGAAAGAACTGGTCGTTCTCAGATTTCCAGCATGGTACAGTGATAGAATATCGGCAACAAGACCAGTCATGAAATGTCTTTGCTACAGTAAAGTGTTTTAAAAAAGCAGGACTGGTTGGGAATGACAGCAACTCATAAATGAAGTGTTAGGTCACATAAAACCACAGAGTTGAGTAGGCGCATAGTGCGCAAATGTCACCAACTCTCTGTAGAGTCAATCACTACAGACCTCCAAGCTCCACGTGGCCTTCAGATTAGCTCAAGAACTGTGCATAGAGAGCTTCATGGAATGGGTTTTCATGGTCAAGCTTCATCCAAGACTTACATTACAAAGCAAAACTCAAAGTGTCCGATGCAGCACTGGACTCTAGAGCACTGAAGCCGTGTTCTCATGCTTGTCTGTCTGGCAATCCAATGGGCGAGTTTGGGTTTGGTGGTTGCCAGGAGAACAGCGCTTGTCCAACTGTACTGTGCTAAGTGTAAAGCTTGGTGGAAAGGGGATTATGGTGTGGGTTGTATTTCAGGAGTTGGGCTTGGCCCCTTAGTTCCAGTGAAAGAAACTCATGGTGGTTCAGCATACCAAGACACTTTGGACAATTTCATGCTCCCAACTTTGTGGGAAGTTTGGTGTGGAAGAACTTAAGTGGGCTGAGTCCCTACCTCAACCTGATGGTTGGTTTGATTACACAGCGAGGTTTAACGTAACATTGCTTTTGCAACGCTTGTTTATTTCCTGTAGTTTCACAGGTTCTGTGCACATATGTTTGGTCAAAGATCGCACTCTGTGGGTGGACAGGGCAGTGACAACTGGAGGAGAGACAGATGCTGCTGTGTTTTTCTTTTCTTTTTCTTTTTTTTGCTGACAGATGTTGATTTCACTTCATGCCACTGCAATAAAATGAACTAGAAATTCATAGAAAATTGCAGGAAATGTGCATTATTCAACCCTCCACCCATCCATCCACTCACCCACCCGCCCACACACACACACACACACACACCATTGTTCTCTTCTTTTTTCTGGGTTGTTTCAGTTTTGTAATGAGTGGCAATGTACTTTCAAAAGGTGACAAAATATTCTGGTCCATTCCCACAAATGTTTTGGATGTCAACGTAAATGCACATGACTGTGAAGTCCAGACATTTCACCAGTAACTGGCAAGAGTACATTGAAGGTTCACTCTGACAAAAATGACTCAGGGTGCCAGATTAGAGCCCCTGGTAAAAGATTCCAATGCACACTTACATGCACTTACATGTTTTTGGTGGTGAAAAGGGAACAATCTTGACTGTTGTCAGGTATTTTTATCCATTTTCATACTTTTAGCTAACGTAGCATTTTCATTGGCTCCTTTCAGCTTCGCACTTGTCACATTTAGTTGCATTAGAACTTCACCAGGCAGAAGTAGACTACTGCGTGTGAATCATATAAGTCTTTTTGATCTTTGTGGTCAGGTACTGTTTTAAGAAAGCTGCGGTGAAACTACGACTGTTGACTCAGAACAGATGCTGCTTTACTGACCAACAGTCTTCTCACTTTAACCCACACTTCCTGAGTAGTGCAAAGTGACAGTAAGCTGTGCAATGCTCACGGCTTCTTTGACAAGCCAGAGCTACAATGGAAACATTTTGTTGTCGTTCTTTTACGAACAGTTGAGAGGAAGTCGTGTTGCAGGTTAAAAGCGACAACTTAAGGACCACTGGTAATGAAGAGAAAAGGTGTTTAGGTAATTTTGGCTTGGTGGACAAGACTTTTTCTTTCTCTCAGTTGTCATTTTATTGTCTTCTGTTCTCATGTTGAACTTCTCCAAAAAGCATGGCCAGATGACATTTTTCCACTTGGGTCATCTGGCCATGAAGTCTTTATTTTTCCAGTCAGTTCACAAAAAATCCAAAGCAGCATACTTTATTTAAATAAACTGCAAACATGCTATTATGTATTTTCCAATTCCTTTCACTTAGAGTGAGCAGGGTTAAAACAGAGATATTAAGAAGTTGCTCTTTGAAGCTATAGGTTTAGACGGCCAATGCAGTAAGAAAAAAGAAATGAGCGGATGTTTTGTGTATTTGGCTCTTCCGTGTTCAAATCATAAAAACCAAAGTGTAGCTGATGTAATTATGCTTATTCTTTGCCTTCAGTTTTAAAGGGTGCATGTAAATAGATGAACATGTGCAGTTTAAAAGCTCCAATTTTTTATTGGGACTGTGTTAAAGTAGCTTTGTGTGAATATACTTTAAAATTATTGAATACTGAGCTTTGGTGAGACCACCCTCAGTTCATCCTCTGGTAGAAACAAGCTGTTTTAGCTCCTCCCGCTTTAGGGGTACCCGCCCTTTAAACAAACTCTTCTGATTGGCAGCCTGTTGAGCAGCATGTAGGTGGTGCTTCTGCGCTTGCAGCCAGAGATGTGTGGCTGAGATGACCATATAAAGAATAATCTCTCACAGTCACTCTCACTTGCTGTACACAGATAGAAGAGTAGAAAAACACAACAGTAATGGATTGTTTTGTTTCGTGACTTTAAACTTTGGCTGTGTTGAAATCCTCGTATAAGCATGTCTTGCCACTTGGTAGTTATTGTGAAACAATTTGGTATTTTTTTAAAGCCTTGAATTCTGATGGTCATTTGAATATAAAAATCATATAGCATCGTCAGTCAAACCGGATTTTAAAAAGTATTAATGACACAACAGAATATAGGGGAAAGCACCGTAGGTACATGAGGCTTGGTCAGCAAACGTACTTTGTAGTTTTTTGTTCATATATTTGCAGTACTTGCAGAGTTTCAGTAGACCCAGAGAAAGCTAGAAGCTATCGTGGTTTCCTAAAACAATATTAACTCATCATTTACCAAAATGTTTTAAAACCATCAAAAACTATGAATGTAGACTGAATCCATATTCCAAATAGGTCAAAAACACTGTGAACACCACAATGGGGAGGAGTATGTATGTTTTTCCACTGTGCTTCAAGAAGTAAATTCAGGTCACTCGGGGGCATTTCCATTATCACAGTACATATGCGTGCCTGCAGTGCTGGGCAAATATCTCATTTAGTGGCCCACACTTGAAGCACTTTGCTTAAATTAGTTTATGAAAATGGATCAAAAACAGGAATATAGTAGCAACTTAAAACCAAATGAAATGTTTTTTGCAAAATAAATTAAAATAATTATAAAAAAAACATGGTAACAGAGAACAGAAAGTAGAGCCAGGCCCCTACAAACCTTATCATATTGCTCCTCCTCCTTCCTCTATATATTCAAACAGGTTCAGCTCTGCATCACTTCACTACTGTTTTTTCTTTGTGACTTGACTGTGGGGAGGTTTTGAACTTATTAATAGACATAAGTGTCAAAGCATACGTGAGAAGGAGAAGTGACAGGTCACAACTGTTACTGTGAAGCAACTGGAACAAACAAACAGCATAAAAAAACAACCACATAGACATCCTGTCAGGACGGAGGAGCGGTGGGTTGTTTGTGTGGGGGGACTGGTGAAAAAACCGCTGGGCTTAAACTC